CAGAACCAAATCCGTCTCAATCAGATGCGCTTCCTCGACAACCCACGTTCAAGACGGACACAGATCCACCACCACCGTCGGATCCGAGCCACGAGTCTTCAATTTCGCTGCAGGTCCAGCCGCTTTACCAGAAAACGTCCTGCTCAAAGCTCAATCAGAGCTATACAACTGGCGTGGATCTGGTATGAGTGTAATGGAGATGAGCCACCGTGGGAAAGAATTTCTATCGATTATACAAAAAGCCGAATCTGATCTTCGTCAGCTTCTCGAGATTCCTTCGGAATATTCCGTTTTGTTCTTACAAGGCGGTGCCACCACTCAATTCGCTGCTTTACCGTTAAATCTCTGCAAATCCGATGATCCCGTCGATTACGTTGTTACTGGATCTTGGGGAGACAAAGCTTTCAAGGAAGCGAAGAAATATTGCAATCCTAAAGTGATTTGGTCAGGTAAATCTGAGAAATACACTAAAGTTCCTTCTTTTGATGGATTAGAGCAGAATCCGCACGCCAAGTATTTGCATATATGCGCCAATGAGACGATTCATGGAGTTGAATTCAAGGATTATCCAGTTGTTAAAAACCCTGATGGTGTTTTGATTGCTGATATGTCTTCTAATTTCTGTTCGAAGCCTGTTGATGTATCGAAATTCGGTGTGATTTACGCTGGTGCGCAGAAGAACGTTGGTCCTTCTGGTGTTACCATTGTGATAATAAGAAAAGATTTGATCGGAACTGCTCGTGATATCACTCCGGTGATGCTTGATTACAAGATACACGACGAGAACAGCTCGTTGTACAATACGCCTCCCTGTTTCGGGATTTACATGTGTGGTCTTGTGTTTGATGATTTGTTGGAGCAAGGTGGTTTGAAAGAAGTGGAGAAGAAGAACCAGAGGAAAGCTGAGTTGCTTTACAATGCTATTGATGAGAGCAAAGGGTTTTTCAGGTGTCCTGTTGAGAAATCTGTGAGGTCATTGATGAATGTTCCTTTTACGTTGGAGAAATCGGAGTTGGAAGCAGAGTTTATCAAGGAAGCTGCTAAGGAGAAGATGGTTCAGCTCAAGGGACATAGATCAGTGGGAGGTATGAGAGCTTCAATTTACAATGCAATGCCTTTGGCCGGAGTTGAAAAGCTTGTTGCTTTCATGAAGGAATTCCAGGCAAGGCATGCTTGATTTGTCATCTTCTTGTTTTAGCTTTTCTGGTTATATTGTTGTGTAATAAGCTTGAGTGCTTATGGTTTTGAGTTTTGCCTTTCTTCTTCCTGTACTTCAAATTCCAATTGTCTGTGGAGTTTGTTTCAGTAATAATCTTGTTGAAGCAAGAACCGTTTTTCACTATTATGTTAGTCTTGTTTGGTTGAGTGTCTTGAGACTCTTGAGTTGAGACTTGATAAGATGAAAAAGTGAATGTGAATTGAAAACTTCCAGTGATCAAATTCTTTTGTTAAACAACTTATTGAGGAAATGCTGAGATAAGCTTTTGATGATCATCAAATGCATATATTGGTCTCATTTTGTGCAGTTAGTGTGTCCTTTCGTAGTATCTCCTGACGAAACTGATGGTCCTGTTTTTAAGAAACGCAAAAATAGCAAATTTAGGTTCGAATATATAGCTAAGCTGCTAATTCTGGAGCTCCTTGCGAGTGTGTGTAAGTTACCGTTAGATATTGTCCCTCTGTAACCATCAGCTACATGTCGAAAGAACTCTTTAGTAGCATCTGCGAATCCATTAAAGAACAATTGCTACTAAACCCGAATGAGACAGAAACACATAGCAAGAAGAATGCAAGAATCTGAAAACTGACCGTATTTCATTGCCAGTGACGGGTCTTGCTCATCAATGACCCTGATCAGTTTCGCCGGATTTCCAGCTACCACACTTCAAAAACCAAAAAATGATGTCTATTGTTACTACACAAACATTCAGAGATTTTCAAACAGACACAACTCATGAAGATTTTTCAGTTGCATATTCTCTTTTATACCTATGCGAAGGAACGTCCTTTAGCACAAGTGAACCAGCAGCAACCATTGCCCCAGCACCTATGCTTATATTGCCAAGTATAGTCACACAGGCTCCAAGCACTGCACCTTCACCGATTTTTGGGTGGCGATCACCCGTTTCCTTCCCGGTTCCTCCTAAAGTCACACCCTATGACAATGAAAATTAATCTAGTCTTTACTAAAACTGAGCTCTAAACTGAAAAATCTTGGTCTTGGCATTGACCTCCAGGGGAAAGAGAAGAGATGCTTACATGCAAGATCGAGACGCGGTTGCCTATCACAGCCGTCTCACCTATGACCACTCCAGTTCCATGATCCAACAATATACCCTCGCCAATTCTTGCCGCTACAAAAATACGAAGTAAAGTACTTTGTATAACCAGCAATCAATTCACCTGATCAACTTAAGTACCAGAGAGGGGAAATTGAGAATGTTCCTCTTCCTAGTTTCAGAGATGAGACATAAAGGCATATGCATGAGCGAGATACGAAGCTCTAATTTTACCTGGATGTATGTCGATTCCAAAAACCTGAGAGAAGCCACAAGCATAATCAGATATTAAGCTGAGAATAAGCAACTCGAGACTCTAAACTCAGTAACCAATAGAACATGATCGCCAAAACTACCTCGCTTATCCGACTTTGCAATGCAAGTGCTAATAGTTTCCGCCCTTCATTCCACAGTTTATGCGCAACTCTGTATGCTTGCAACGCATGATATCCCTGTAGAACAAAACGTTCTGGTGAAATGCAAGCTGAGAAACCTCTTTAGCAGTCACTTAATTATTCCCTGTGAGAGATGTTTTGTCTCTAACAAATTCAACTAAAGAATCACCTTCTTTCGACC